ATGATCCTGTTTGAGGATTTCATTTATCCTGGTTTTGGAGACCGTTTTTAGTGACCCAGATGGAACCATGCTCCTTCTTTTCTCCATGGATTCAGAGGATCGAGAGGACTCCAGTGCACTCCAAAGATTTTTCAGGGAGATCCTCCAATGCCCTAATCCAGTGAGTTCAAGGCAAAGACCCCTGGGATTTCAGTAAGGCATTTTCAGACCCACCTTTAACTGCAGGTGTGGGAATTGTGGTAATGGCAAAAGTGGGGGAAGAGGCTGAGAGAGGGCATGCTCAGAATGTTCAGCAAGGAACCCTGGATCAGTATTTCACTCCTGCACATCCCTGGTAGGATCCAAAGAACATGGCTCAAAGACAGTTATTGACTGGATATCAAAGATTAATTATGTTTGGGATAAAACATGCTATTCCGAAAGCTATGGATATGTCAAAGTTATATCAAGAGGTTCAAGGAAAAGATGAATGCCCTCTGATTTTCACCAGTGACTCACTATGGCGTGGCCAGAAAGTACAGGGACCTGCACCCTGAAAGGGAGGGAGATGCATTACAGTTAGCAGCAGTATTTTTGGGACAACTGGCTCCAGATATTAGAAAGAAGCTTCAGAGACTGCAAGGGGTAGATTCTAGGTACCTGAACAGATTATAGTAAAGAGCTCAGGAAGTATAGAATAATGTCAAGAATATCAAGGAAAGCAGGAATAGGAAACTCCTAAAAGCGTTTTTGAGCCCGAAGGCCAAGGCCGAGTTACAGAACAAGAGATGGAGACACCCAGGGAGGGGGGGCTCTGACAATCGGCCTCTGGGTAGAAATCAGGGGGCAAGAGAGAAACAGGGGGAATCATTGGAAGTGTGACCGGCCAGGAACAAACAGGCACCTCCTGACCAGGCTACAAGTCTTTTAACATTAGATGTAGCATGGAGGGAACCAGGAGAGTCATCCCCACCTGAAACCCTGGGGACCCTGACACTGGGGAGTGACACAGGTAGATTTTTCCGGTGGATCTAGGGGCAGCTTCTTCTGTACCATATACATATAAAGGAACCTTAGCCAAGATACTGTAAGTGTCATTGGTGCCCCCAGGAAGAGCTAAAATATGCCATTTTTATTGCAACCCTTAAAATTCAAGACAGGTAGGGAGTGGTTAATGAATCAGTTTCAGTAGATGCCTGAATGCCCAATGCCTTTGTTAGGAAGAGATATTTTGAGTCAATTAAATTCACAAACAATAGTTGAAAATTGACAAATACAATTATGCTTTTCTGAAATTCAAGCTCTGGAGGCTCGAGTTTTCTTTGTGTTGTTAAAATGCAACCAAATGCAGTAGAGAGAATGCCAGAGGAGGTGGAAAACACTGTCACTGTGTTGATGCGGACCAATGGAATTCCAGGGAAATCAAAGCAGTGGAACCAGTAAGGATTCTGTCTGAGCCTGATGGGCAACTGGTTGGGCAGAAAAAAATTATTCTTTGAAGTCAGAAGCGAGAAGAGGGTTGGAGGAATGAATTATTAAGTTTTGCAAGATGGATCACTGCGGGCATATGAGCCACAATATAGGACTCCTCTCCTGCCAGTAAAGGAGCCACATACTAATGAACACAGGCTGGTACAAGATGTCAGAGCTGTCAGTGAAATAGTGTGAGACTTAGACCCAGTGGTAGCAAGCCCTTATACACTTTTAAGCCCAATTAAGTAATCTGATGAGTCCTGATGAGTCCTCTGTTGTGGATGTTAAGGATGCTTTTTTTCTGCATTGCCCTTAAGGATGCTTTTTTTCTGCATTGCCCTTGAAACTGAAAGTCAACTCTTGTTTGCCATTCAATGGAAAGTTCCTTGATGGGCCATGAAACCCAACTGAAGTGGACCTATTTTCCTCCAGGGCTCAAAAATCACCCCACATTGTTTGAGAACTGTCTCAATTTGAGACAAGTTCAGAGGAGACAGGTTTCAGCAGTCCCTCTCACAACAAGGAATGTTTTTGAGGAAAGTGAAAAAAGCTGTTTATTTAACACACAGTGTTGGGGTGTGTTTTAAGTTTCCCCCAGTTCTGGTTGCTCCCTCTCCCCCTCTTTTTGTAAAATGGTCCAGCCTCCCTTCTCCTCCCCCCTCCGTCTGCCTGTCATTCCTCCCTCCACCCAGTTCACTGTATTCCTGCTGAGTTATCCCCCCCAGCCACACCCCGGAGCCTGTCTGTCTCTCAGATACCTCTCCCTTCCACCTAGAAAGTTCCATCCAGGGCCTCGAGTGATAAGCTGGTCTCCGGGGTCCCCTCCCTCCCTGCTACCTCATTGGAAGTTTCCCCTGTGTGTCACCCCTGTTACCACGCCCAGTTGTTATCCCATTGGTTGGCTGCTGTTTCCTCTCCCTGTTACCGCCCCCCTTTAACAAGCAGGGCACACGGTGCCCATTGCTTTTTGGAGCTTATCTTTCTTTGAGCCAATAAACTAGGAACTCTGATACCCCCAGAAGGACGGCTCCTTGCTTTTGTCAGCGTCACTCTGCATCTCTTCCAGTCTGGTGGCCTCGTTTCCCACTGGCCATTCCTCGTGCCCCCAGCGGCACACGAGAGTGGCCTTTGCTGCCGCAGTGCTAAAGGTACTGAGCTAGCCAAGACTTGGGAAGCTAGCAACAGCCCTGGTGGCTCAGCGGTAGAATTCCCGCCTGCCATGTGGGCAGCCCGGGTTTGATCTCTGGCAAATGCACTAGTGCTAGCTGAGACTTGGGAAGGCACAGTGACAACACAGGGTGCAGGCAGGCGCAGGAAACAGAATGAATAATGTCAGATATTCAAACCTTCTCGCTGTGGAGAAAGCTGTGGATTCACAGTTCTTTGTGTAGGAGTGGCTCAGCTCCTCCCGAGTCTGAAGCCAGGACGCCCATCCCAGGGCCTCCCCTCCAGGCTGGGGCGCAGGGCTCCCGGCAATGTTCGGGCCGGGGAAAAGCCCAACAGTTCCAGGGAAAAAACCCACAGGCCTGGAAAAACTTCTGGCATTGTCAAACAAGCAAAGAAGGAGCCAGCTAAAAGCACAGATGTACTCCCTCTGTCCATGCTGCACAACACAGCTGAGCGAGCCTGGGGGAGGATGTGTGAAAACCACACCAAAAGAATTCCACCAGCTTTCCACCCCTCTCTCAGACCTAGCTTAAAGTTACAGGACCCCTGTCTGGGCATTAGGCAGACAACAGGGGCACAGTATCATACTGCCACCCCAAGACAAGAACCAAGTGGCAAAAGAATTGGAGGCATAGTGTTGTGGTTGGATTTATTTTATTGATTCCTCGTTAAGTGGTTCGTCCTGTTGCACCCCCATGTTCTCCCCGAGTTTGTTTAGCCCTGGGCTTTACCCTCCCTCAAAGCTGTTCCCTATGCCATTCCCCACCCTTGGTCCAGCTCTTTCCCTGCCTGTCAAGGCAATCCACGCCTTGATTCCTGAACGTTCTGTGCCACTCAGACCTTGGGTCAATCCCTGTCTGCAGCACCCTTTGGAATTTTCCTATCCCTGGAAGCCCCGCTGGCACGTGTGCCCCATCCTCCCCACCCCCCTGCCCCAAGTGGCCCCAGACACTGGATGTGATCCCCTCACTCCTCCCCTGAGGATTCCCTCTTGGTTGGCTGTTTGCATCCGCCCCTGACTTGTATCTTTACTAAACCCCTGCACAGGAGTGCCTGCGGCTCTTTGTTTGAGCTCCCTTCACCTGGAGTGAAGTGTTCCTTGTGGAGCCTCAAGGCAGAGAGCCTCCTCCTTTCTCCTCTCGTGGTCCCTGTGGTGGCTTGTGTCTGGCACCTTAGAGCAAGTGCCTCTAAAGGTTCAGCCTCAGGTAAATCCCCATACCGAGGCAGTTCCCCACTCCTGGCCAGGCAGCGGAGTTGTAAGAGCTAGCCAAGCTCCGGCAGTCCCTTCAGTATGGGAAAAGGAGAATGAAGGGACCACTTTGCTGCAGTATGTGGGTGATCTTTTAATTGCTACAGGAACTCAGGCTAGATGCATTGAAATAATTCTCAGTTTCCTGAAGTTTTTGGGACAAGCCAGTTACAGGGTGTCCAAGAAGAAGGCCCCAAGTGCTAAAGAGCATGTTCTATATCAGAGGTTCACCATTTCCCAGGGGCAGCAAAGCCTTGGAACCAAAAGGATGGAGGCAATTTGCCAAACCCCAGAGACAAGGTCTTTTTGCAGGTTAAGAACATTTCTAGGAATGGGTGGTTGGTGTGGGCTCTGGGTTCTTCATTCTGGCCTGTGGTAAGAGCTTGATATGTGGCCCTGAGAAACCCCCAAGGAGGTGCTACAGCAAGGAGCTGCTACAGTGGACCCCAGATTGCCAGCGGCTTCCACAGACCTCAAGAGAGCTCTAATGTCAGCCCTGCACAGGCATTACCTGACGTGACCAAGCCTCTGGAGCTGTTTGTTCACAAACACTGACATGTTGCACTACGGGTGTTAGCTCAGAGGCTGGAGACATGGAAAAGGGCCATAAGATATGTTTCCAAACAAGTGGACAGTTTCAGTTACCTGGTGAACTGGTGCTTCTCTGTAAATGAGGAGAAAAGTTGATCTAGCTGGCCAGTTATTTAAATTAGGAAACCTTAGATCAGTGGACTGTAGTTTTACTCCCTTCCTTGGTAAATGTTTATCCTGCTATTGATGGTGTGGTTCCACAGACTTTGCTAAAATGAGCATCGTATGAGCCCACCAGGAGTTAACACTTCTTTAGCTGGCAAGAGCATGAGAATTGAGAAATCAAAACCAAATTGAAGCTAGAATATTAATTAAGGAAGAGAAATATGAAATTTATAGGCAATGAGCATTAATTCCTTTGATAAAAATACATAGTGAAAAGTTTAGAGAGTGGATGTGCATGCTGAGTGGAGCTATTCCCAGGCATCCCAGTGCTGGGAATGAAGTGATGCCTGATTCCTAACAGTAAAAATAGTGTAAGACAGTTGTATTTATCCCCATGTTTTCAGTGAGAGTGGGAAAAAGATCTGCCTGTCTTTCAGAAGGATTTTTATTAATGGAATGAAAAATGATTTACTGACAACAATTGTGGCAGACTTCTCTGTCTGCTGAGAAGACGTCCCTGGTGGAGCACTGGGTTCCCAGTCCTGTCCGGCTACTTGAGGGCTGTGGAAATCTGACGGGGCTGGGCTGGCAGGAGGAGCCCTGGTGCCCTGGAGACGTGTCGGGGGGCAGTGCCTGGCCGGTGGTCCCGGGAGGTGGCAGGGCCTGGGGGTGAGAGGCAAGGGTGAGCCCCCAGTCCCCAGGGCTGCCCCGTCTGGCTCATCTCAGCCAGCCCAGGACAGGGCAGCAGGAGGGTCACCTGCTTGGCCAGAGACCCTCAGGGACCAGGCGCAGACCCAGCAGACAACCAGTCTCTTCTCCCCTCATCCCCGTGCCCTGAGAGGGCCACACCTGGCTCATCCAGTGTCCTGGTCAGCACAGGAAGCCGGTCATTGCAGCCCCTCGGGATGTGTCCACCCCTGCCCAGCAGCTGGCTCACTCTGGGCTGGGAAGGAGAGAGCAGTTGGCTGAAATGCAGGGCCCAATTCAGCATTCTCTAGCAGCCCTCCCAAACCAGCTCTGCCCGAGGAAACTGAGGGCACAAATTCACCCTGGATCCTCAGCATCACACTGCGAGTCCGCATTACACATGCCATGTCCCCACCTTCTTCATCCCTACCTTGTTGGGAAGGGTGACGAGTCCCTGCAGAAATGCCTTGTTCCGGAGAGAATCCTGAATGGGGGGCAGTTTGAAACTGCTGCTCTGACGGTCCCCAGAGCTCTGTGGCACACGGGGGACACTACCATGGACAATCGGCCTCCTGTGGGATGGGGCAGAGGACACTCAGTGCCGAGCCCTGTGGCATCCTTGGCTTCACCCTGCTGTGCCATGGAGGGGACGGGCAGTGCTGCCTGCAGGGGCATGTCCCTCCCAGCTCCTGTCCACCTGCTGCAGGAGCCCCAAGCAGGAAGCAAAAGCCTGTGCCACACCGGGAAAAGCCCTCCTTGCTGTGTCAGGGCTAGCCTGCACCCCGGGAGCTGGGCATGTGTCCTCAGGGCCCTTACCTTTGGCTGTGCGGTGGCTCCTTGCTGGGGGGCAGCGGTGGCAAATACGGGAGTGTCTCGGGGTACCTGGGGAGGGCAGGAGTCACAGGTGTGTGACAGGGGACAAACAACCTGTTCCTGCTGGAGGCAGCACCCCCAAACCCAGAGGATTGTACCCCATGCTACCCCGCTGCCTGTAGGCCTTGGGATGAGTGCCCACAGCCCTGCTGCCGGCAGGGCTGCAGAGGGGGCTGCCCACATCAGGGCCTCCCAAGCAGACCCTGTCACCCTGTGCCCAGCACAGCGGTCACTGCTGGCACCCATCTCCCCCCATCCCAGCCCCGCTGCCCCCGATGCACTGGTGCTACTCACTGGCCAGGGACCTGCACGGTGAGCATGCGGTCACAGGACAGGCACGTGAAAGGGACTGGCAGCTGCCTAAGGAGGGTGAGAGAAGAGGGCTGGGGGAGCTCCTGGGGCCACAGCCCTGCCCGCACACAGGCAGCAGCGGCTGGCAGCAGCCGGGTGTTGGGCAGGTCACTGCACAGGATCACAGCGTTTGCAGGCTGAACCGTGGGCTCTTGAGCCTGTTTCTCCCCATCCCCAGCGTGCTGGCTGCTGCCAGCTGAAGGGCACAGGCACCCATGTCACCATCCCAAGCAGCCCCTGCAGCACTTTCAGCCCCTCTCTGGCACCAAAGTCCCCTGTGTGCACGGCCAGGAGGGCAGGGCACGACCCAGCTCTGGGACCTGCTTCCCACAGCCCTGCCTGGGAGGAGCAGTTGCCATCTCCCACCCTGTCTTCAGGGAGTCTTTGCACCCACAGCCAGATTTTTCCTTTTGGAGGGCACTGTCCTGCAGGTGCCCTGTCCTTGTGCCTCCTTTCCTGCATGGAACCTGCTGCTGGTGGAAGGAGAAGGTGCAGCTGCTTCATCAGCATCCCCATGGTTCATTGAGCAGATGAATTGGTCCCAAGGCAGGGGAGCACACGGGGAGCGTGTGGGTCAGCTGGAGGGAATGGGACCGTTACTGTCCCCAAAGCCTTCAGAATCTGCATCACACTCACTTCTTGATCCCAGCAGCGTTTTCACGCAACAGCCTGTTCTCAAGTTCCTCAATATTCCTGTTCCAGGCCTCATCCAGGTGCTTATGGAAAGCCTTCAGCTCCAGGCGATCCAGATGTGAACAGGTGCAAAGCCTCAGCCAGCTGCCCCGGGATGTGACATGGAGCTCTCCAGGGAAAAGCCTGGAGGGGGATCCTCAGAGGGATGCTGCCTCAGGCTGTCGAGTCCCAAAGGTGCCAGTTTGTCATTTTGGTGACGAGGGACCACTCACCTTCTCTTCAATTGCATCTCTGAACTGACGCTGCATATTGTTCCAGTGCTCCTCCTGGCCTGAAATCTGGCTCTGCAACTCCTGCATCCTCTCATCCAGCTCTTCCATGTTCTCTTCAAACTGGCTGCAATTGACTTTGCTTCCCAAGGCAGCTTTGTCCGCCTTCTAGCAGAGAGGAACGGCAGGAGAGCGGTGGGGAAAGGGATGAGGAACCACAGGCAGGGCCAGCGCGTGTGAGGGGCGGAGGGAGAAGTGCTTCCTCCAGGCCATCATGCCCCTTTCAGGGTGCTGTGGCCCCATGTGCCCCATCACCCTGGTGGGTTTGTTCCCACCATTTGGAAGATGAGGGAACACCAACATGCTCGGGAAATTCTCCCTCCCCAGGCCACTCCTGCCACCCAGCCCCCAAGGGACAAGGGGCATTTGGCACCCGGCCTGGAAACCCTTGGGCTGGCAGAGAGGCCCATTGAGACTGTACCATGTCCATTGCTTCCGTCACGTCCTGCTCATTTGCCTTCTCCTTCTGAAGCTTCTCCAGAGACTGGAACAGCATCTTTCAGTACAAAAAGGAACCCATGACATCACAGCAAGGTTGGGGCACACCCCAGGATATGGGAGTATCGCCCTCTCCCCCTACACAAAAAACCTTGGCAAAAGGCACTTGGAACAAGCAGAGTGCTGGGAGGAGATCGTCAAGAGATGCTCTGTGATCCCTGCCCGGACACATCTTGGGGGATGCTTTGACCTAAAAAGGGTTTCAGCCACACACCGTGATTTCTTTCTGCTTTTGTTGAGAGTCCTTCTGGAGTATCCCTGAGGCTAAGCTGAGTTTCTCGTAGTCTTTTTGAATCTGCAGAAACTTGGCTTCCATGTGCTGGCGCAGCTTCTGATCCTGCTCCAGGGAAGGAAGAACATTAAGTGATGACCAAAGGGGGTCTGGCTGCTCCACAGGGCAGACCCACATGACTCAGCCAGTGGCCATGAGCTCTCAGTGTCAACAGGATATTTGCATCAAGGCTTTAATCTGCGTCCATGCTGCTGACTGGTCTAGGCCAATTTGGGCAGTTTGGGCCTCCCCCACATTACAGCAAAGCACCACAGAGCATGAGGATGTGGCATGGACCTCCAACATGACCAAGCAAGGGGTGGTGGGAGTGCTGCCCCAGGACCTCACCTGCTCGTTCAGCTGGTCGGCTGTCTGAGTCACCATCTCCTCCAGCATGGCATTCCTCCTCTCCTGCTGCTCTCCCATCTTCTGCAGCTCACGTTTTGTGTCCTGACACAAAGCCCTGGCCAGCGGGATGGGGACAAGGTCAGGGTTACCCCTGCAGGGCTGCAGGGCACTGTGCTGTGCCTGCAAACCAGGATGCTGCCAGACGCCCTGGGCTCCCTTGCAGCCCCACAGGGTATGAAACCCACTCCTGTCCTCTTACTCAATTTGCTGAGAGATCTCCTTCTTGCTCTCTTCTTTCCACTTGGCTGCATCCTCCCTCGGCTTTTTAAGGTCCTCCTCCAGCTTCTTCATCTGGAAAGCCAGTGATGGTAAGAGTCAGGGCACGGACATCCTCTGGTCCCAGCAGGGGGGCCCTTCAGCTACATGGGCAGACCCAGGTTCTTCCACTTGGTCCTGAGACCCTGATCCCAAAGCCTGCTCTTGGAATCACATTGATGTTCCCCATGAGAGCCTAAAGATTACACAACCCAACAGCTCACTAAGGCAAGCGATTCCTTAATCTTCTTTATGTCTCCCTCCATGAGGATCTGTGTTGTCTTTATCCTTTCCATCTCCTCCCGGAGAGCCCGCATGAGAGCCATGTCCTAGGAGAGAGGAGTGGTGGCAGTGAGCCTGTGGGAGGGTCAGTGGACACCTGCAAGGCCCTGACCCCTGCTGTGATTTGTGGAGCCCTGGGGACAGCGCAGGGCCGGGCTCAGCCAGGCTGGCAGGGCTCTGCAGGCAGCACGGTCCATGCATCTGGCAGGGCCAAGGGTACTGAGCCTCCAGCCAGCAGGGCCGAGGGTCCAGGCTGCTGTCTCAGACCCAAAACTTGCTCCAAGCAGCACTTCACCTCGTCCCGTGATATCTGGATCTTCTTCATTTCCCCTGTCGTATGACGCTGCGCAGCCTTTAACTTTTCAATTTCTTCTTGATGCTGGGACACAGCCATGGTCTAGGAGAAAGCATTGTCAGAGACAAGTCTCTGGAGAGTGAGTGTGGGAAATATGACCTTGAGAGCCACAGTGGTCTGCACAGACCTGTGTCTCCTGGAACTTCTTCATGTCCTCGGAGAGGTGGGAAAGTTCTGCCTTTATCCCACCAAACTCCTCACGAAGAACCTATGGAACAGTCCAACCAACAGGGATGTCAGGGATGATGGCCAGGACAGCAACACCCCAAAGAGCCCCACCCTGCCACGGGCAGCCTGTGGCAATCCAGGTGGGCAGGGATAGTCCCAGTGCCACCTGCCCCAGCCCAGCTCGGTGCCAGAGCACTGAAGCCCATCCAGGTGGCAAAGAGCCCCTGCCAGGGGCTGCGCCGGGGCAGTGAGGGCAGTGCCAAGCAGTGCTGTCTGAGGAAGCGGGGAGGGGCTGTCTGCTGGGGGAGTGCCCCGGGGGCTGGGAAGAGCCTCTACCTTGGACATGTGCTTCTTGTAGTCTTCCATCTCTTTCTTCATCTTTGCTATGTCAGTGGCCACATCAGCAAGTGAGGGGCCACTCAGCTGGCCCGGCCACGGCTCCTGGCTGGTCAGGTACTGCACGTCCAGGTGCTCCAGCACGGCCTGCAGCAGTTTTCGCATGGCTGCAAAGTGAATGATCCCCTTCTGGGGCGTCCCGATGGTGAGATCCAGCATCTGGGAGAGAAAACCAACGTCTTTTATAGTAGATATCATCCACCCAGAGAAGTTCCAGTTTTTAAACATGTCTCTGAACCAGTCGTCGTTCTCTTGTTTTACGCTGCCGATAAGGTCTTTCATTTCTCGGATGGACATGTGGACACTTTGGCTTCTTGATGACAAGTTGAAGCAGCACAGCCCCTTGAACTCCTGACACCCATGCCTGTGTACCAGCAGCAGAAAATTGATGGCAGCCCAATTTTGTAAGGCCACTTTCCTGGTAACTTCCTCGTCTTCTCGGAGGTTACTTAGGGCAATCGATGTTAAATTGGCTTGCTTTGTAACCCAGCATTCTAGATGTCCCAATTCACTTAAAGACTTTGCTGCCGCCACCCAGGGTAGAAAAACGGAGATGGCAACTCTTTTGGATTTGGCCCAATGATAAATTTTGCTACAATGTTTGTCTAATTGTTCTGCACCCCTTTTAGCAATTTTCTGTTTGGCCTGCCAGATCGGAATCTGGGTCATGTTGGGGAAAGCAAGTGAAAGACGCCCCAGGGTGCATGGAGCCCCTAGGAGGCGAGAGGGGATTCCTGGATATGCCTGATTTCCACAGATTAAAAACTTCCCCTTGTCTAACTTGCAGGCGTAGGAATCAGCAGCTGAGGGAGCACCCACTTTGGTGATACAAGTGCACCACTGGTCAGCTCTAATTTCTACCTTATGTTGTTTCATATGGTTGTAGAGATTCGGGTGGGCATGTGGCGTAAAGTCAAACTGAACACAGTATTCAGTCTTTGTGGAGCCCTGTAGCTCAAATTCCTGGGGCTCTGCATCGGCAGTGGGCAGGTCATATACCCATTTCCACCACAGCCCTAGAGGGTTGGTAATAGCTGTTTTTGCATATTCAGGAACCCTCCAATATCTAGAAATTTCTGCCCAGGTGTTTGGCAGGTTCTTTTTATTAAACTCATGCCAGATCCTGACCAGGGTGCTGGGGTACTCACTTATTTTTCCTGGAATCCCCACCAGGCAAGTAGACATCGGATTTTCTGCTGCAGATGTTGAAAGGCACAGATGGTCTTGCTGGAGGGCATGGGCTGGAGTTATCCACACATTCTTTCGGGGCTGTGGGATGATCCACACACCCAGCAAGGACTGGTAGAGGGTCATAAACTGGAGACAAATTGAAGCGCTCCCGGGTCTCCCAGACCGCTCCGGATAGCTGCAGGTCCGGGACCTCAGGAACGCTTCGATGGTAGTAAAGAGAAAGGACTTCCACCAATCGAGAGTCTCTCAGGAGGCTTTATTCTGAGGGCTTCGTTGAGGGAAGGCGAGGGTGCTGAAGGGACACAGCCACTCAGAGGGCGAGCCAGCTCTGAGAGCCCCGAACCAGGGGCGGGGCAGGGTTTATAACAGTTGCAGGGAAGGAGGGTCAGGGTACAGAGCATCCAACCGGGTGAGGGTATGAGGGTGGAGTCAAGCAGGAGTGACACGGCAACGGCCAACTGGGAAAGAGGGAAGGAGTGGTTTCGGGGGAAGAACCAATGGGGGTACAAAGAACTGAGAACTTTCTAGAACAAAGGGAAGGGGTACCAAATGATTGACATAAACTGGGGAAGGGAGAACAGATAACTGACAACTGGGGAGGCGGGAAACTACACATCAGTGGCCTCCCATGGCAATGCAGGGAGGTCACCAACCACACCCCCTCCCACATCTCCCCCGTCTTTATTAACTAAAAAAACGGAACCGAAAGTCTTAACTAAATATTGTTTAAAAATGGCTAAAGCAACGAAAATAAGAAAAATGATAACTAAAATCCAAATGAGTCCTTTGACAATGGGGGCTGCCCATCTGGGGATGCCCCACTGCGAGAATGTCTTATCAACCGGGTCAGCAGCCGAGGGGTTTTCAGTCTTCAAGTCCTTTACTTGTTCACGGATCTGTTTTATGTGGGCCTGGATGGAGGTGCTCCTCGATGACAGTTTGAAGCAACACAACCCGTCAAAGTCCTCGCAGCTGTGGCCATGGGCTAAGAGCAAAAAGTCTATCGCAGCCCGATTTTGGAGGGTTGCATGCCTGGTGGTTTGTTCGTCCGCCAGGAGGTCTGAGAGGGCGGCGGACGTAGCGTTGGCATTCTTGTTGACCCAACACTCCAGGTGAGAAAGCTCACCAAGGGCTTTTGCTGCTGCATACCATGGAAGGAAGATGGATGCAGCGATTCTCTTTGTTTTGCCCCAGTTATAAAGCTCCGATCACAATTTGAGTCAAATTGATTGTATGAACGTTTTTTGCGGGCCAATTGTTTTTCCTTCCTCCATTCCAAAATTTGGGTTTTATTTGGAGTGAGGGCAGCAAGCTTGCCAAGGCTACATGGTCCTCCCTGGAGCCGAGATGGAATGCCTGACCATACTCTGTCCCCACAGATAAGGAACATCCCCCTGGGCAACACCTTAGGACGCGTGGACGAGACCGAAATGACCTGGCTGGTGTAATTGCACCAGGTTTGACTATTGTATTTTTTGCTAAGTGGTGTCACATCTTTTCTATATGTATTCTTGGCCAAGTCAATTCCATGCCAATTCTGACTTGGCCTCCTATAATAAAATTTGACACAGTATTCTGCGTGAGAGGACCCCAGCAAGTCCAATTC